GGGTGGTACACGGTGAACCGCGAGGGCATCTAGACTGGTGGATTTCTCGAGAAAAGAGATTAATTTATCCGACAATGGTTAACCAGCAATTCTATAGCCACGTCTAATCGCTGGGAGTAGGGATCAGAGTTTTTGACCTCGATCGAGTGCGACATTTCGTCTTACTGTCGTGTGAAATCGATTGATACGTATCTCTGAAACCGGCCGTATTTCAGTGAAATTGATTCGCGTGGAAATGGCCGGCCACCTCGTTTTCCTCGCCTCTTTTTCTGCGCTATCGATTAAACGATCCACCGATCAAGCATATCGTCGAACGTTGTATCGGCGAACGCGCTCCTCGCGGAGTAGCGGGACGTAGTTTGAATATTTCTCGCATGTTCCGAGCACAGCTGTTCGAGCGTCGTTTCCATTACCGTAACAAACAAGTGCTCCTTATCGAGCGCTCATTACACGTTGCAAAGTAACAGCACGATATTGCATCGTCGGACGAAACGCGCAGGCCATGCGGCGGCAATGCGGCAGATAATGACAGACCGCGTGTGCAAAATACGACGAAAATTAATCGGCCGGCGGAACAGCCACCGTTAGATATTACGGGAACCGTGAAAATCGAGAGAGCATGCAGAAACGATCGCGATCGAGACGCACGCGTCGGGGAACCGAGAGAGCCCGATGTTTATACCGAAAGGCGCGTATTGTGTTTACGTTTACGTCGAAAACGCGCGAAAAGCCGTTTCCCCTCGGTAATAATTCCGTCCTTTTGCCCTCTTTCGGCGTAAGCTGCAATTGCTACACGCGCTTTGGGGGCCTGTCGACGGTGGGAAAGCGGGAACACGGAAAGCAACAAAGGAAGAAAGGAAGAGCCCGGCGAAAAAGGCAAGAAAGCTAAGGAAGGCTCGTTAGAGGGAAAAACAGAGAGGCGGCGAGAAAAAATCGGGATAAAGAAGTAGCTGGTGGTGGATCGGCTTGCGTGGCACAGCGCGGCACGGCGCGACACGGCGCGGCACGACGCGGTATGGCGCGGCACGGCGCGGCGTGGCGCGACGCGTCGCGCGTCCTCGTGGGGCGTGAAACACTTGAAAATCCCGGTTATGCAAAACATAGGAAAACGGCCCTCCAGGCCAGGACGTTAGGTGGAACACGTAATTGAAAGCACTTTAGAGACCCTACGGCACGCACAACGAGCACTCGCATTTGCATTCAGTGGCAGAGGGAATGCCTTTTAACCGAAATGACTGCGTGTATATGACAAACGCCAGGTTTATGTGCCGGAACGATGGGAATATTTATTGGCGCGAATTAATGTCTCCACTCGTCCGTGCCGAGCGTTATATTTATTGGGACATTTCGCGGCGGCTACGAGCCGAGCCGGCAAATAAAAACAGCTATTCATCGGGAAAAAGGATACCGAAAAATCCCACCGTCCCGTTACGTTCACGTCGTTCGTTCGCCGATCCACGCCTTCGTCACGGATCCGACCTGATCGCGATGCCTAATCGCGTCTATCGCCGATGATAATTCTTCCGGCCCGATTTCCAGTCCATCGTCGTCGCGTACCATCCACGCCGGTTGTCGCGATCGAAAAGCGATCGAGAGATAGACGAGAGATCGCCGTGTACGAACTCGCGGATGATCCACCACGCGCAGGATGTCATGCAGAGTATACACATAAGAATGAAACTGTTCTTCCGTGGAAGACTCGATTACCTGATTCGTTCGATCGGCTCTTCGTTCAATGGGTTTGTCAGCGGAAATTGCACGGAGAAAATGAAACACAGATTATCTGCTCTTAATTAATATACACATGTATATTGTATATATTCGAAAGTACCACGACGATTCGTTGCCATGGCAAACGTATTTACATTACAGAGTTTGCGACTTGGAAACTCCACGATTACGGTTTATCGGTAATTTGTACAAAGCTTTAATAACTATTTCCTTCTCTTTCGATTTGCATGCTCGTATGCGCAAGATTATACGACGATATCGGATACGCGTGAAAAACGAACGAGGGATGACACTTTTTTCCTCCTCCTCCCTTTTCTCTTTTCGCCAAGCCCCTTCTCTATCCGGGAAATTCGTTACTTTTATACCGCTCGATGACTTTTTGCTGCTTATAACTCGACGTTCCTTAAAAAAAGTCCAAGATCCTCGATCGTAATGTCACCGAGCAATTCCAGAAGCGTTTTATAGCTACTAAACCAGTGTCAGGGTTCAAACTGCGCGGGTATTTAGAAGGATCGAATGCTGTTGCTTGGCGCTTAAAAGAAAGAAAAAGAGAGGACGAAAGAAAATAGCAAATCGGCTCTCTTCTGGCTCTCGATCGGATTTTACGACGCGGACAGCTCGAAGAAACCTCGGGACACCGACCGAACTGTGTCTGAAAATAATAACGAAACAGAAATGGAAGAAAAGAAATAAAAAGAAAAGGGAAATAACTGGAAAATTCGCGAACGAGGAACCCCGACTCGCTGGAAATGTTGGGAAAGTTCCTTCGTGGCAAAGTTTCGACTTTGATCGATCGGTGATTTTGGAAGTCTCTTATCACAGGCCAAGGCACGGTTACAGCGAGAGGTATGCGTTAAAATTGCAGCAACTACGGGACCATGTAAAGATCGGAGCCTGTTAGCGCAACATACTCGAGAGCCTGTCGTCCTCCGTTCGTTCGAACGTCGCAGATCGGTCGCGATTAGTCGACTCGCGAATTAATTTAGTTCGCGAAGTTCATATATATCTATATATACTACGCACACGTCGTTAGGACCACGAGTCAGAGATCGCTCGAATCGAAATTCGAGGAAATTCGAGGAAAGGTGGATGCGGTGGTGGGTGATGGTCGGTGGTGGTGGTAAACGAAAATGAGAGGGCGAACGGAAAGGGGGGTGCGGTGGAACGGGTCGCAGGAATGAACGATGATCATAATTATAAGAATTACAATAATAATACTAAAAATAAGAATAATAATAAAAAGAAGTCATATTGATCGTGAGGATGATAATAATAATATTAATAATATTTTTTAAGGTCACAGTAATAATAATAATAAACGTAATGACATAATAATAAAATATAGCTTATAATGATAAAAGTTGCTCGCGGGTCACGGAGATTTGTCGGTTCGATTAATTCTAATACACAGCTCGAATTTCTCTCTTCCTCTTCTTCTCTCGCGTGACCAAGAAGAGACAGGGTTTCACTTATATGTACAAAAATGGGGGGAGGAACTGGGGTTGACGATCAACGACCAATCTACAAGCATTTCCCACTCTTGGATACGAACACACAGCTTCCCGGGGAACACTGTAAAACGTTTGTTCCTTTCACGCGAGTTACGTTCGCAGCGTTCAGTTTTTGGGGAACGATATGCACAATAAATACTGTTCTCGTTTCTTTCCCACCGATCTCTTCTTCCTTTTCTTTAAATCGCTCTTTTCTTTCACCTCGTATCTTTCCGATCGATATACGATTTCGTTTTTTCTTCTCTTTTCTCTCTCTCTCTCTCTCTCTCCCTCTCGCGTCTAAAATTTTCCGACGCTCACTCTCTCGATCGTCATGCACACTTTTTCGCTCCCATTCACACACGTTCTTTCTTCCTTTCTTCTCTCCGCCCTTCGTACGTATTATATAACCTTCCCTCGTGTCGTACTTCGTTCATCCGTTTGTCCGCTTCTCCCACGACAGCTGGGACGATATCGCGAATGCGCGAAATACGATCACGATCGAAGCTGACGGACGCAGCGACGGATGCCGAGCGAGATGTCATCGAACGGGCTAGAGAAAAAAGGAAAATATTGCTTACGCGGAAAATATAATACACGTGTCCCTTTCTTTTATACGTTTCTATATATATATAATATTTTATATATATTCGTATACGTATATAAATATGTATATATATACAGTCACGCGAAGCGGCGATATTTCGTGTCATCTTTCTCGTTCATCTCTCCTCTCCTCGTTACCCTATTTCCCTTCCGATGCTTTCGCCTGTACCCTCTGTCCTGGTCTTCCTCTCCTCTGTTACCCCCCGTTTGCGCCCCTCGCAACGACTATACCTCGGATATTTCTTGCACGCATGCTAGATCATGCAGCCTTCGACTTTTTATGCTTTATCACAGTAAGAGATTTGATCGTTTCGCGTATTTTTCCCGCCACCCTTTTTCTCTCCATCTATGCTTCCCTCTGATCCAACGCGCGACCATCCGCGTCTATAATAGCACGGGTCGACGAATCGCCGACCTTCTTCGTCGATCCCTATTCGAGTCTCTCTCGCGAAGCAACGAGTGCTCCTCGGGGATCGGGAAACGAAAACGCTTGTCGTCGATTCGCGATCCAATTTTCTTATTTCCCTCTTTTTTCCCCCTCTCTTTCTCCGCACCTGCTCCTTCGCGGAAACGCGTTTTCGTGCCGCCACGTCGACGGAAAAAAGGAACGCCGTTCAACGAGACGAGAGGAAAAGCGTGTGTGGGGGCCGCAGAAGCGCAAATTCGTCGCAAGCTTGGGGAAACAACCGCAAGTTCTCGCGCACCGATCGCGGAGAACGCGCAATTTCGCCGATGATTTCTCCTCCGTCAGAATCACGATCGACGTTAGCACACGATTATCGCGTTTTCCCCTTCGTCGATTCCTCCTTTTCGTGTACCTGATTTTGCTCGTGTTCCTAGGATCCTTGCTGCGTCTCAAACGAAACATGACGACGAACTCTTGACGTTCGGATTGCGAGTCTCGCCGGAGACAAAAGCGTTTCTTTCTCGATTAATTTTCTTTTCTCTTCGTTTCTATTACTATCGATATTATTATTAGTGTTATTACTATTTCATTTTTTTTTTTTTTTTTTTGCCCCTCGTTTGTCCATGAAATTTTCTCCCGAGGTTGCGAGAAATCGTTTGCGATTCCGTCTCGGCCCCCACCGGTCTCCGTGCTTTTCCGTGCGCGATAGTTTCGCTCACTCTCGCACTCGTTCCTTCTCTTTTCCTTTCTTTCTCGTTTAATTATCGTTTTTTTTTTTTTTTTTTTTCCGTTTCTCTCGCTCGTACTCTCTTTCGCCGTCACATTTTCAAGGGAGTCCCAACGCGTACAGCCGTCCATCCAAGCTTGTCACTCTAAGCTATCCTACGAGGTTATTTATTTTACGTTAGGTATCGGGGCTAATTGCAATTTCAGTGTTTATTTTATTCGGACAGGATGAGTCAGAAGAAACTCTCGCGATGGCCAGATTCTCTCGTTTCTCCGAGACTATCCGAGTCCCCAGGCTCGAGTGAAGACTTGTGAGTCCTCGATCGACGATGTTCCTCGACGAAACGACGAGTCGAAAGAGCAAAACGCATGGAAGAACTCGAGAAACGGCGCGGCAACGATCGGTGTTGTATCGGTGATCGAAAGCGAGGAAAAACGGCCGACGAGGTTTTCTTGACTCAACCCGCAGACTCGACACGTTTAAACTCGACATTTGTATCCGGGACGACCGGCGAGAAATAAATCTCGAGTTTAAATCGCTCGAAATTCCCTACGTTCTGGACCCTAGAGCAGATGATCGCGGCGCGGATCGAGATGGGAGATTGAAAACGAAAGAAAGAAGATGTACACGTACATATAATATACACATAATAAAAGAAAGTATGCGTACGAAAGAAAGACGAAGATTTGATCGACCAAGAGACACTCGAATCGTGCAAGGTATATAGGTGAAAAGAGGAAGAGAGAAAGAGAAGACAGGAGGCGGAAACAAAGCTGAACAATCGCTTTGCATCGTGCTCTTACCACGTCGAACGAGTTTCTCTGTTTACCTACCGCGTCGGTCGAGCATCGTCGGAAGGACTCGTATCGTAAATCTTTCCAAATATCGTTAGTTTCGCGCCCAACCCTGTCGCGCGACGAATTAATCGCGTGGATCGTCGGCGCGATGGAGCGAACGCGACCCAATGTTTCCGAACGTTCTATCCGTGCGACAGTTTTAAATGATCACGAACGTGATGGTTCTTCCAACCAGTCGGAGGTAGAAAGACACGACGTCGAGGAAGAAGAAGAAAAACGACAACGCCCTTCCTTGTGCCTCGTTAATTTATCGAGCAAATTAACGATCGAATTTCCCCCGCTGCGATAAGAAGGAGGAGCTTCGATCGGTCTAAATCGATATTCTCGATTGCGATCGACGGAATGCGACGACGATAATTCCTCGGCTACCGATCGAATCACGCGCTTCACCCGATACACGCAGCTCGATCGAGGGTGCCTCGCGTGATCTTGTTACGTAAAGATCTGCCCGCCGTTATTCTCCATTACCTCTCAAACTACGGTGCAGGGCTAGAGGTTTGCCCGATGACGTTGGTAGTAATTGTTACGTATTGAGGATTGATCATTAGGGTCCAGAAGTGGAAATGTCGTGGCGATGATGTTAGTATGCGAATGCAGGGCGCAAGATTTGCAAATGGAAAGCGCGGTGAATTGCTTTATTAAGGGTGGCCGAGCGGGACACGATCGATTCGGTTCAAGATCTGCAACGAATCGTTCGTGACCGGCTACGTCACGTTCGAGTTTGAACCCTCTGAAACGGCGTTAAATATCCCGGTGATGGTGGAACATTTGGTACAGCGCGTTTGGAGAAGCGCGTTACGCGCCGTGGAAAACTCGAACGTGGGATCAAGCTACAATACCAGTACGGGAAGGATAAACCCGGTTGTCTGTTTCGCGCTGGCTAATTACCGCGAAACCGAGCGTTTCGTGAGAGTAAAATTGGCGCGCGCGGGCGCGTAAGATCGAGGACGGACATAGCTAGCGGAAGAACGGATTCGTAACGCGATCGAGGTTTATCCTGCCCTGCGAGGGTAAAGGGAATCGAGTGGGATCGAAGCCTTGCTCGATTGTGCGAAATTTCACGCAGGGCCCAGTCTATAGTGACATAGTCTAGGTTACTGCTGGCGTAATCGGGAGGAGGCGAAACTAGGCGGATCGAGCAAGACACCGACGAAAGGTTGTTTAAATCTACGCCCATAAGCAGGCAAGATAATAATGAAAAGTTGAGCTTACATATGAGTGAGAGGCGGAATGGCAGAGTGATGCTGCGCAAGCGGATCCGGCGACGGTCCAGGCGAATAGACACCGGCGCCGTGTTGCACGACTCCCTGCTCGACACCCTGGGGCAAATACATCGAGATCATCTGTCTGAGATCACCTTGCGTCTGCTGCGTCTGTTGCTGGCCCATGTACTCTCGTTTCACGACCTGGCCACCGGCCGCGCCCGTCGACGACGCGCCCGTTGGCGTCGGTGTGTGAATTCCACCGCTCGCCGGACTCGTAGGCTCCGATTTTATGCTGCTACCGCTGGGACTATGACTCGACATCTGAGATCCGGGTTGCGCTTGATGGTAGGGTGACGGTGAGCCACCGGGCACAGTGGTGCTGCCGTAACCACCGTAACCATTCATGTAGCTGTTTATGGGGCTCGGACTGCCACCGCCCATGTGGTGGCCCATGTCGTACCTCGGATAGCCGGCCGCTGAGGCCGCGGCTGCCGCTGCTGCACCACCCATGTGACTGCCGTACGCAACGTGTTGCTGATACGCCGTCGGGTCGTGCATCATGTAACCGTTAGGCATGTAACCGTTTGGCATTTGGTAAACGTCTCGCGATAATTGCGCCTGCTGTGGTCCACCGGTAGCACCGACCTGCCGCTGATCCACACCCAACATCCCGCCAACTCCGGCCACACCGCCACCCAAAGGGAATTTGTCCTTCTTCAACAGGGTTTTTGTCTTGCGTCGCGGCCTGTACTTGTAGTCGGGATGTTCCTTCATGTGAACGGCGCGCAATCGTTTCGCTTCGTCGATGAACGGACGTTTCTCCGTTTCGCTCAGCAACTTCCATTCGGCTCCCAGTCGTTTCGAGATCTCCGAGTTGTGCATCTTCGGGTTCTCCTGCGCCATCTTGCGCCGTTGCCCGCGGGACCAAACCATGAACGCGTTCATCGGCCTCTTCACTCGGTCGATGTTGTTGTTCTTGCTGGTATTGTTGTTGTTGTTCGGCGGTTGGTGATGCTGCTGTGGTTGCGGTTGCTGTTGCTGTTGCTGGTGCGGATGATGCTGTTGCTGTTGTTGCGCGGCGCTCTGCTGCGCCAGCGAGTGCATGCTCTGCTGTTGCTGCTGCTGCTGTTGTTGCTGCTGCGCGGCCTGCATCGACGCGTAATGATGCTGCGGCGTCTGATGATGATGCTGCAGGCCCAGGCTCAGACCTCCGGTACTCGGAGGACTTCCGGACAGGGCTGGACTGTGTACTATCGAGCCGAGGCTACCATACGGCGAAACTCCCGTATGGTGGCCCATCGGCGATACACCCTGATGCGGGTGTGGTGGCATCTGACCGTGCAGGCTGCCGCCTTTCAGGTCCGTCTCCATCGTGAGCATGTCTTCCTCCCTGTGGCCGTACAGTTTGCCGCCCTTTCCTGGTACCTCTCGACGTCAAGAAATTCGACGAAACGCCGAGAAGGATTCGTGTACACGGTTTAACGGTTATTTTCGCGTCGAATCTCACCCGCTCTCAACCACCTTGCGCCAACGATTCCGCGCTCGCTGTATAACCCGCGAACACTACGCAACGACGGCTTTGCTTCTTCTATTTTCTCTTCTACAGCGTGACAACATGGAAGCCGATTCTCCCGATCTCTCTTCCAGCATACGAGATTCCTTTCCTTCCTTTCGATTACCGCACCACTTGTTGGAATTGCGCGTGGCAACACAACAACCACCGGCACTCGCTCACTCGAAGTCGCGATCAGTCACTCGATTAATACGTAAAGTTTATCTTCCGTTACGGTTCGTCCTAATTTTTTCGATTAATTCGACCTCGGCAGAGTCGACCGGATATAAATCCTCGTTTTATCACGTTTGCTCACTCGGAGAATCTGCACACAGACGATACGAACGTCAGTCAATCGAGCACAAGATCACCGTGCACCGTTCGTTTATCGAATTCACGCTTCGACATTCCTACACGGGATCGGCGAAGATCGGTAGCGATGACGATTGTGGTGGTGATGGTGATGGTGGTGGTGGTGGTGGTGGTGGTGGTGGTGGTGGTGTTGATGGTAGTGGTAGTGGTAGTAGTAGTAGTAGTAGTAGTAGTAGGTACCGGTAGTATAGTGGTTGTGTAGTAACAGTAGCAGTGTCTCTCTCCGTGGCGTCACACCGACAACGAAGCGTGTGTTTAGTAATCACGAAAAGTCACCGTGGCCTTGTCCGTTGGTCACCGTACACTCGACTCTCTTCATATCAACACAACGTACCAACCCCCGCGTACTCCTCGTGTTCGATTCGCTTCTGCCGTTTCGAGCAACTTCGAAGCAACGTCGGGTCCGTGATCCACGCCAGAGTCCGACCGAGAACTGACGCACTGTCACTTTCTTCCCCTAGCACGCTGCGTGTCCTCTCCTCTTTCCCTCTCGCTCCGTTTCTCTGTCGAGCTCGATAGCTGGCTCGTGACTGGCTGCAGGCCCGCGATAAGCTCGACGAATCGGATCGCGACGATGCAACGATATTGCTAGTCCTCGCGATTCGTGTCCTTTCTCGCTCGATTTTCTCTCCAGCCGGAGGAAAGGTTCGATTATCGGAAATCGTTCGATCACTAGGCTCTTCCGTCACGGTGGTACGCGAGTACGATCCCTGAAATTAGGCGCCAACGATGTTCCTCGTTCACTCGTCAACGACGATGATTCACTGTGTGTCACTGCGTCTTTTTCTCACTAGAATGACGACGACGATGATAATAATAATAACAACGCCGGCGATGACTTCTGGTCCACCTGGTGGTGCACGCGTGCTCTGTATACCGTTGCGCGCGTTCTTTCATCCGCGGTGCTGCTGCTCTTCTCGTGGTCGTCGATGCGACTGCGATAGCGGCGAACGTGGTGGAGGAGAAGAGGAAGAAGAAGAAGAAGAAGAAGAACAAGTAGCAGCGACCTCCACTCTCCACGAAAGAACGGAACCGTCTGAGCATTTGTGGATTTCGCCTTGGGGTCCCACTCTCGGGGCTCACTTCCTGCCGAGGCGGTTGTCCCCCTCTCTCTGTTTCGCTCGCTCTGCGCTCGCCGCCCCTCCTCCACGCTACCCTACCTGCCTTGCTACCAGCAACCATACCCAACGGACCGACGGACCAGACCCGAGCCTACCAACGGCAATCGATTGGCACACAAGCCTGCCATCATTTCTCTCCACCAATCGCGCGGCTCCCTTCGACGCCGAAGGCGGCGCCATTACGCCGTGACGTCATACCAACAACCCCGACGACCTCTCGCGGCGACGCTTTCACCCCCTCCCTCCCTCTGCCCCCCGGCCCCTTTCGCCCCCTTCCGTTCCTCTCTCTTCCACCGACACCTTTTTCCCTTCCTTTCTCTCCGCGGCTTTCTCTCTTTCCTAACTCCGAGCGCTTTCCTCTCTCGCCATCTTTCCTTCTCCCTCCCTCGCTCTCTCCCTCTCCCACTCTCACTCTCTCTCTCTCTCTCTCTCGCGCGCGCGTTGCCTCATCCTCCTCTTCGGCTCGTCGTCGCACTGTTTCGTCCACGCGTTCTTCTATCCGACACTCTCCCTTTTCCACCCCCACGACACACACGGACGCTTCGCCAACGCTTGGACCCTGCATCCTTCGCGAATTTCCTCCTTTCCTATAGTCGCCTCGTGTCGTTTTCCTATGCTCCACGCGCCAGAACACCCTGTATCTCCCTTTTTTCATCCCTTCGCGCCAATCTTTCGTACCAATGTTTCCTCGTTCGTCCTCAGTTTCTCCGGATCCACGGCACCTGCTTCCGCGCGCGCGAACCGTGTCGCGCGATTTCTCCGCTGACCTTCGAATTTCGCCTACGTCGTCCTGCAACGAGCGCCGCGTTTTTCCTCTCCGCGTTTCGCGCGGGCTCAACGATTAGTCGTATCGATACGATCTCGTGCCTGCGATGGTAACGAGGTGAATTACGTTGCGAATCATTTCGGAGCACGCGATAAAACTGTACTCCCGAGTCCACGTGCGAGTGCATACGAACTGCGCAGGCTGTCCTATCTTATCGCCTTTTCCTCTCTCGTATCGCGCTTTCTTTCTGGCCGACGATTTTTGCCGAGGGAAACTGCGAGCCTTGGTCGCGACTATTTTTATTCCACAGCGAATCTTCGCTCTCCGAAACGGGGGGTTGCGCGTCCCTCGCGCACCTCGAGTTTCCGACCCAGCTTCGAAACAAACTTCGCTCTCGAGCTGTTCGCGTCGTCGAGCGAAACTCCACGCGAATTCCAGTCGTCCCCGTTACACGTGTTCTCGACACGGGCTAATAATCCTCATCGACAGCTGCGTTTCCACCGTTTCCCGTGGAAACGCCGGCACAAGCGAATTTTTCCGAAACGCCAAGCTTTCGGAGTAATCGCGAATCGACCATTACCATTACCGTCCATCGCTCGACTTGACCCATTTCCTCCGTGATCTTCTCCTCTTCTTCGTTCTCTGTCCGTCTGTTCGTCTCTCCCTCTCTCACTCTTCGACCCTGCTTTTTCCTCTTCGTTCATCTCGCCGCGTTTCTTCGGTCACTCCTCTTCGTCTGGCATTCGTGAAATTCACAAAGAGGCTGACGAGCCGTTCCTGAAAGAACCTCCATCGGCCGATGCGACTCCGTTTAAGCGCGGCTCATGCGTAGGACCTGTTGCCGCGGCTCACCAGCCAGACAAAGACAGAGAGAATCGAGGCGGGAGAAAGGTAGAGAAAGAGCGAAACGCATAATGGAAGAATGCGTCATAGATAATCGTAGCGCAACCCCGACGTGGCCCGTACGTCAGCGACAATGAAAGTAACGGCAGCCGGATGGAGTTCCATTCGAATGTTCAGCGACGTTCAATTTCCACCAATGCCTACTTCCACTCGCCCTTTTTTTTCCACCCTTTCTCCCTTTCCCCGGTTACTACCTACTCATCCAGCTCGCCGGTCTTCGCTGAAATCCTTCAGCCAGCTTGCCGTCACTCTCCCCGACAAAAGAATCTCTCGCTCGCGATTAAGACGGAGTTGGAAATGGTCGCGATAACGCTCGCAGGTAGAGGAAGCCGATTTCCGAAGTTGTTGCAATTATGCACGATCGATGGGACAGCGGCTGGTTCGATAAGCCAGCAAGGTCGTCTAGATAATATTATCGGGCCGATAAGCGAAGTGCAAGGTCCCCGGATGACTCAATCTGCCGCCGATCGATCGATCGGTCGATCGATCGATCTTTCTAATCGCCCAGCCCGACACGCGCTTGTTATCTACGGTGTACGTGACGACGCGGAGAGTCGCGACGCGCTTTCGCCACCTTCCTATCTCGCGGCAATGAATCCCACGGCGATCACGAGGACTCCAGCCGCCGGAACGAGCAATAAATCAAAACGGGAAAGGGTAATCAGAGGAGCATTGTGGCGGGTCGCGACAGTCCCCGTAATGAAAACCGCACGAGTGACGCGAGCGAAGCTGCGTCGCGGCCACCAACCGCACCGGATGACTCGTTCGACTTGCCCGAATATTGACACCTGCTTAACGAACCTACGAAAATTTATTGCTAATTCCTCCTCACCGTAAAACGACGCGTTAATGCGCAGTACGGTTCGCAGTTGACCGTAAACGGTGCCCTTTTGTTTGTCCATCGATTGTCATCTAGGTATTCCGAACGAGTGGGTACCTGCTCCCGCAACGAGCTGACAAATAATAAAGTCGTGCCAAATACCTGCGAGCCAGCAGAATCTGTCGGGTTCGTAGCAACGACTAATTAGCCACCCTTCGGCCCCTTTCGGCAAAGCCAACGTTTCGTCGTCCCCGCCATCTTCGCGATTTATTATCCTTGCGGTTATTCCGGATACCGAAAATTAGGCTCGAATAACGCGAAATAAAAGCTTCCTTACCTGGAACGTCGTTTTGCCATCGGTCAAACTTAATTTCGAATTCCAACGCGTTCTTACAGAGTCGAGCACCTAAATACTGTCAATTACCGTGGCAATTGGCAAGCTCCGAAACCGTCCACCGTAATCTCGGTTCTTTCTCAAACTTCCCGGTCTCGTTGATGTCCGGCGATTATAATTATTCGATCCCCACCTATCCCCGTGATCGAGCGAGAAAGGAAGAGGGAACGAACGCGAGAGGGCAGAGAGATCGGCCGAAATGGAAATTCTCGTTTGACGCGGAGCGAAGCATCGCGGCTGACAATCTCATTTCGCGGAAAGACAATCGCCGATCGACGGCGTATGGAAGCTGCGGCGCGCATCTCCGCAAATTTTGCGAGAATTATCGCGTGATGACGGCGGCCACGTTGATCCCGGGACAATGGCGTTTCGCGCCGGCAAAGTACCGTCGCGCGATGATCGAAGTCAGCCTCGACGCCGTTTTCTCTCGCGATCGTGACTCCATTTTGATGGCGCGGAAACGCCACAAGTGGCATATAAGCCGCGGCGGAATAAGTGGATTGATAGGTCGTTACCAGAGGGAAAAAAGGAAGGGAGGAGGAGGAAAAACACGATAGGAAAAGATAGAGGCAGAGGATCGGAGTGGCTAGCAGCAGAAGCTAGACAGGAGAAACTGTACAATAAGTCGGGCCCCGACAATGGAATACCGCGGGCGGTCTTTGTGATTCAAATCAATGTTTGTGATACTCGATGGCACGCTGCTTTTGTGCCGGTCGAGCTTTCGTTTAAGCGGATACGTACCTGCGCGTACGTACATATCGAATACACACGACTCCGATACTTCTTTCTCTCGGTTTTCCTCTCTTGCTTTTTCTTCCTCTCGCCCTATTCACCGCCCCGTCCCCTCTCTCTGTCTTCTAATAGTTACATTTATACGAGGTCATCATTGTACTGTTATTGCGCGTGGATAATTGGATTTGCAGGTAGCCGGAGTCGAACGGAGTACAGACCTACCGACTCCATTTCAATACACGCACTCCGCGTTCACCGTTTCTCGCGTTACCGATCCGATCGTGAAATCAGC